CGTTCCAACACTTCCCCTCGAGACGTAGCAGACACATACAGGCTCTGGTCCGTCGTCTGTAATCCCAAAAGTTCCATGCACTTCCGATGTTTTGTCCTCGACAACCCCTTCGTCAATACGTCTGCGGCCATTTCAGAAGATGGTGTATGCTTCAACTTAAACTTCTTCTGTTCCAAGGCCTCCCGCACAAAATGGTAACGTATGTCGATGTGCTTACTTCTGGAATGATATCTAGGGTTCTCGGCCAATTTTATAGCACTCATATTGTCGCTATACAGGGTTACGTTAGCGAGTCTTTCGAACCCAAGTTCGGTCATGAACTTGCCCAAGTAGATTGCTTCCTTGGCAGCTTCGGTGGTACCCATATATTCCGCCTCGGTGGTAGACAATGCCACTGTGGCTTGCTTCTTCGATTCCCACGATACGGGTCCGCCTGATAGGATGAATGAGAATCCGGTATACGAATGCCTATCGTCAGGGCAGTTTGCCCAATCAGCATCAACGAATCCTCTCAGATTCATGTCTTCTCGTTGGTATACTATCAAGTGATCGATGGTGCCCTTCAGGTACCTAAGTACTCGCTTTGCGGCTGTCCAGTGTTCCTTAGTGTAACAGTTGTTGAACTGTCCTAAGTAGCTTACTGCAAAGCTAATATCGGGTCTCGTTCCCAACGATAGATAGGTTAGCGCACCTATAAGCTCCCTATAAGGTAACTTCAGCTCTTCACTAGATGGGCTCTCCGTCGGTTTCCTTAACTTCGTTCCTGGATCAAGTGGAGTGCTTACAGTGTTCGCATCCGCCATGTTGAATCGATCTAGTATTTCCAAGATATATGCTCTCTGGCTTAGACTTATCTTGTTTTTCTTTAGTGAAAATTCCATCCCTAGGCAATGATTAACTGATCCCAGATCTTTCATTTCAAATCTTTCAGATAATTTGGCTTTTAGGGACGATATCGCCTTTTTGTCACGTGATGCGATAATCAGATCGTCTACATAAGTGACAATTATCATAATGTCTTTCCCTGTTTTACTAGTGAATACACATGGGTCGGACTTAGTTGGATTTGCACCGCATTCACTAAGTGTCTGGCTTAGTTTCTGATACCAGCTCCGACCGGCTTGCTTCAGGCCGTATAGTGACTTCCTAAGTAGACATACTTTATCACCTTTTCCCAGTGTGTTCAAGGTATCTCGAGCCTTCTTTCTGGTAGCCTCGTTGTATTTGGAGTTATCACAAATAATCTTCAATGATTCATCCAAATATTCGGGGGTTTCCATGTAAATCGTCTCATCTAGACTTCCATTTAAGTATGCGCAGGTAACATCCAGTTGCTGCATGTCCATATTTAAATGTGCTGCTAGGGCAGATACAAGTCTTATGGAGCTAAGCCTTGCTACAGGGGCAAAAGTCTCGTTGAAATGTGTTCCGGGCTTTTGGCTAAATCCCCGAGCGACTAGTCTTGCCTTCCTCCTTTCGATAGTTCCATCAGGCTTGTACTTGTTTCTCAGGACAATACGGCTTCCAACGATGTGCTGGTTACATGGTCGGTCGATTAATTCCCAAGTACCATTCTTCAAGATAGATGCCACTTCGTCTGCCATCGCCTTGTGCCATTCGTCAGCGTCCTCGCCTCTGACTGCCTGATGCATCGGGACCTCGGACAGTAATACCTCTTCAGAAGAGAGTGCTGAACCTCTCGGGGGTGTCCTGTACCTGTATATCTTTCTAGGTCTTCCCCTCGAACCAGTTCGCCGAATTCTGGGTCTCCCGCGGGCACGCCTGGGTGGCTCAGAATCGTGATCAACCTCGGGCTCTTCTTGTTCCGTTGTAGGAGATTCATGTTCTGGATTTTCGTTCTCGACAACTGGGGATAGCTGTACCTCGATAGTATGCATCTCAGATTCATTCTCCTTGGATGATCCTTCCAGAATAAAATCTGTCCATTCTTGGCATATGACTTCTGCGTTTTCCAAGAACTTAACATCCCTCGTGACTACGAATTTATTCTCCTTCGGCAACCAGACCTTGTATCCTTTCGTTTGTTCCGAATACCCTATGAAAATTCCTTCCTTACATCTTGCGTCTAGCTTCCCCTTGGCCTGATCTTGGTTTAGACAGAAGACCTTGCAACCAAAATCTCTCAGATGCGAAACGTCGGGAGTCTTTCCAGTCCACTTTTCGTATGGTGTTAACCCGTTCAGACTTTTGGATGGACATCTGTTCCGCAAATAGTTGGCCGTGTTGATGGCTTCAGCCCAAAAGATCGGAGGTAAGCCGGACTGCATGATTAGACAACGTGCTGTATCCAAGAGAGTGCGGTTTTTCCTCTCCGCTATACCGTTCTGTTCCGGAGTGTATGGGCAAGTCAAGCGACGTGAAATTCCGTGCCTTTTCAGGAGATCCTCCATTTCCTTACATGTGTACTCCGTCCCGTTGTCAGATTGGATGCACTTTATCTTTTTGTTCTTTTGGTTTTCGACCAGTGTAATATATTCCTGAGTCTTTCGCACAACTTCATTTTTATGTTTCATGAAGAATACCGTGCAATACCTAGAATAATCATCTATGAATTCGACAAAATATTTGTACTTCGAGTGAGATTCTACTCGCATGGGACCGCAAACATCAGTATGTACGATTTCTAGCATTTCCGATTCCCTGTCGGACTTCTTCGGGAATGGTGAGCGCGTCATTTTTCCGCGTATGCAAATTTCGCAATTAAGTTCCCCATTATTAGGCATATTTTCAATATTTATCCCACCTAATCTTCCTTTCTTCAATGAAGAATTCAAATCCTGAAAGTTCAAATGTCCTAATCTACGATGCCATAGTTTGACATTTTTAGAATTCATGGTCGAAATGAAAGCTGATTTATTCTGCGCTTCGCCTTCTCTCGCGTAGTATAAATCGCCACTACGATCGGCTACAACTTTTATATCACCATTACTATCATAGATCAAAGCATTTTCTTTCTTGAATAAAACTTCAAATCCTTTATCGGTAATCTTTGCAACAGAAAGTAAGTTTACTCTTAGGTCGGGAACATGAAAAGCTTTGTGGAGTGAGATGTTTTTCGTGTCGCCAAAAACGTCAGCAACAAACGTGGCTGTTCCGGAACCTGTAATGTCCGTAAATTCACTATTTGCTAAATTCAAATGATCATGTCTACGTTCAAGGTCAGAAAAACAACTAATGTCTTTACATAAGTGAGACGTTGCGCCACTGTCTAGACACCATTTCAGTCTTTTGTGATTCTGTTCAACATGATAACATTCCGCGGTAACAAGTCCCACGTGTTCGGAACAGTTCGCTTCACTTTTGTAAGAATTGGCAACAGTCTTACCTTTGTCTGGACATTCAGCGGCCTTGTGGCCTACTTTTCGGCATCTGTGACACTTATACCTGAACGTTCTTCTGCCTTCCGAGACGCCGCTGCCTCGTGCACCTTCCGAGACGCCACTGCCCCGTCCGCCATTTCCTGCGTGACCGTGATTTTTCCCATAATTCCGCTTCACGAACATGGCGCCTTCCGTTTCTCGAACGTCGCCTTTCCGCGCAGTATACTCTTCTATAATTTTTATTCGAAGAATTTCCGGGGATGGTAATTCGTCTCTAGACTCAATTGCACACCTGAAGTTTTCAAAACTGGCTGGCAGGCTATACAGTAGCATTATCGCTAATAGATCTGCATTGATTTCTACATCCATGTCATTTAACTTGTCAACTGCATCGAAAAATGAGTTTAAATGACATCGTATGTCCTGTCCCTCTTCCATACGTTGCAGTGTAAGCTGTTTGAGCAATGTGGCCTTTCTAGCGGGTCCTTTTGATTGGTAAATACCCTCCAACTTTTGCCACAGTTCCTTGGATGTATTACAGTTCTTTACCTGTTTGATTTCTGAGGGGCTTATTGACAAAATTATGTCCGACATCGCCTTGCTGTCACCTTTAGTCCAGGCTTCTACAGCTCTCGTGGATGCTTCGTCCCCATCATCTAGCCGTGGCTGCTTTATCTCGCCAGATACATAACTCCAGTGATCGTTTCTTACCAGCAATGCCCTCATCTGTATTTTCCACGTGTCGTAGTTATCCCTGCTAAGCGAGTCTATACAGGATACTTTTGCCACACTCATGTTTGATAACACTAGTCACACACTTCCTATATTATCTTCAGCACTTGCAATAATTGTTCAATGTCCGTAGCACTGTCTCTGGGCCCATAACCTGTTGAGGATAGGTAAGCAGAGCAATTCAACTCGCAGTGGTCTTCGGTTCAGAACAGTTTATTGATTACATGTACATGGATGGCTAGATAAGCGACAGGTGTAGATCGGGCTTCCGCGTTCCGCGATCCGCGCGCGTGTGCTGGCTGCTGTACTTCGACTGCTTCCCACGACTGACTCATCACGACTGACTGCATTCCGAGGTGCGGCGCGCGGGGACAGGACGGCGGTTACAAGCTTCTAGGTTAGGCAACCTGTCTGGTCGTCTCGCCAGTAGCGGCGCGGCGGGGTGACGCTAGTACGCGTTCCAACATCCCATCTCAAGTGGGGATCTAGATAAATTCCTAAATATTTTGTATCATTAACTCTATTGATTTTTATATTTTTATCATTTACCTTAAATCGAAGGTGGTTATATTTTGGTAGATGATTAGATAGTGATGAAAATGGTAAAAAATGAGTTTTAGTAAAGTTAATTGTTAATTTTCGGTTATTAAACCACTGAATAATTTTGCAAAAGTCATTTTGGATAATATCTTTTAAGTCGTTCCAATCCTTACCTTTATAGAGTATAGCAGTATCGTCTGCAAAACTGACTATTTTACCAGTACTGTTAATTTTGAATATATCGTTTAAATAAATATTGAATAACAGAGGACCCAAAATTGTACCTTGTGGAACACCACATTTAACAAACATTTCTTTACTATACGAGCTTAATAATTTTACCGATTGCGGTCTATTTGATAGATAATTTTCCATTAAGTCGCAGACCATTTTGCAAATCGCTTGTGCGATTCCATTTCAGTTAAAAAAAAAATGAAAATTGGCAAAGGTGTCACCAATAATTCTAAACATAAGCATACTGACATACCCGTGTAGGTAAAAAGAGAACGAATGCGTTCAAGCACAGCAGAAAAATCCACCTATTTTCGACACAAACAAAAATAACCGTCGTTCAACTTGACTAGCGTCTGATACCGTTGGAGGAGTTACAGTTATGGAGATCGGAGAGTGAGACATCTCTTGTTTGCTGGCAGGTAGGGCTATATTTAAATTGGCAGGGTACAAGACGAAAGTAACTGCCAAATGGATCAAGGAATGCAGATATGCTGCCGATTGTTATTTCTATTTGGCTAGGCTGGATTTATAGGCTCATACTGTTACCCAAATGTGCATGTCTAAATAGTTTAAGGTTTTTTTTTTGCAAAACTATGTATGGTGTATCTGAAGTCACTTGAAATAGCAGAAAAACCTTTGGTCGGCGCGTCCTTTGTAATTTCATGACGTATCATAGGCGTGCGGCATTTATTTAGAACGATAATAATAATGTTTTTATATCACAATAAATGGATTTTACTATCTTCTTATTTTTTTGATTTGGGATAAAAAATACTTATATTGGGAGTTTAATTTATGTTGACTGAAAGTTAAGAAATGGAAAAATTACAGAATTCCAACGTTTGACATAGGCAAATATTTACATAGCAGGTAGGTATATAAAAAGGTATATAAAGACTTACATTATAGGTATTTATATATCATCCTCGTCTTCGGAGCTGTCGCTAGAGTCATCTTGTAGAGGAATTGCAACGGGATTTACAGGAGGCAAAACACAATATTCATTTTCTTTTTCAATAATATGCCTAGAACACTGCTTCCATAGGTCTGTGGCAGCAATATGAGATACTGCATCTCTTATTGTGGCCAATAGCGATTCACTTAATGGAGGGGTCTGATTATGTTTTCTTACTTTTTTTTTTAAAGCAGCCCAGACCAACTCAATCGGGTTAAAAATGCAGTAATAGGGAGGTAGACGTAATACTTCATGGCCATTTTGCTGAAGCAGATTGTCAACAACATACTCTTTTTCAAATTTTTGTCTTTTAATAAGATCCAATAATATGGCTTTGGTTGATTTTTGTGGTATTTCCATTCCCTTATCCTTCATAAAATCAATAATGTCTTGTTTTTTTGTGCCTGTATTCGGAATTTTGTTTTTCTGTCAGGAATGGTATGGCGCATTGTCCATAATAATCACTGAATTTGGGGAAATGTTTGGTATTAACTGCTGCTCTATCCACTTTTCAAATAAGTCGGAGGTCATGTCCTCATGATAGTCGGCACATGATTCTTTGATATTTTTGGCAGATAACAGCAAGGCATTAGGTATAAATCCATTTTCACTGCCAGCATGGAGAATAATGATTCGTTTTCCACGGTTGCATGGTGCATTTAAAATGCACTTGTTGCTGTCGTCAACCCAGCCGTACTGCACAACATCATGGGTATCATACCACGTTTCATCCAGGTAAATCAGATTTCTTTTCTGCTCTCTATAGGTTTTAACTTTGTGCAAAAATTCTTGGCGCAATTCAACGATTCGAGACGACTCCATAATCACTATTCTTTTATCTAATTTTTTGAATTGAAAACCACACAGTTTTACAATACAGTGCAGTGAGTCTAAGCATTTGTAATTATAAAAATCTTCAGGATAATCTTTTAATTTATCCCGTATCATTTCCAACGTGGGCACCAAATTTTCTTTATAAAATCCGTATATTATACGACGAATATCTTCCTGAAAACCCACGTCTATTCTTTTTAATTTTTGCCCTATGCGCTTTCTGTGGAAGGAATGGTTGACTACATCTCCCTTTTTTATAACCCGATAAATGGTAGACCGACTGATTTTTGTCAGGATACAAATTCTGTTTAAAATTTGATTTTGCATGGAATCTGGATTTTCGTTTTTCAGACAATCATACATATTTAGGATTACTCTTTGGGTCTGTTCCTCTAAATCTTTATGAAAGAATTCTGCCTGCACAGGTTCATCAACCATCTCCTCGTGGCTTGGAGCATTTTCCCAAGGTCTCCAAAAAGCCATATTTAGGACACACAAGAACAATCAACACAACAATTAAATCAACAAGTAAACTGAGTATTCAAAAGTCAAAAACACACAAACTAATAAAATCTATGAAAAAACACGGACAGACTAAAGAAAACACGTTTATTCACCGCTACACGGCACTGGCTAAACTGTTTCAATTTTCAGTAGCCACCTGCACTTGTTCCGAGCTCTGAAATACACGCTTTCTCATTGGCTATGTCCACGCATAGGCGTGCTTTACTCCACGTGGACCGGTGAAACTGCCTTTGATCTTATACGGGGGATATTTGCTGCGAAATTTGGCGATTTTTGCAGCAACAGAGCGTGTTAAATATAGATATATAAAACGCACCCGGTATTTCACAGTGTTTCAAGTGACTTCAGATAAAGTATACTCACCTCATGTGAGTCTTGCTGACACGGTGAATCATCGTCTTTTTTTGATTTCTGCTAACAAGCACTGTGTATTTAGCAGTAAATAAATATTTGAGTTTGATTTGATTTGAAACCACACAGCAACACTGTTGCGCGAAACAGTAGACCACACAGTCGAACGACTTCGCAAGCAAGTGCATTTGAAATAATCGAAATTAAACCTTTCTGACGAAACCTTTAAAAAAATCAAATCCCCTGGAACCACATCAAAATTATCAAAATCTCTCTGGTCTCTCTCTTTCTTCTTTCTTTTCCTCTTCCTTTTTTCTCCTTATCATTATCTATCTGGTTCGAGTCGAGTCTCTGAGCAGGGACTTGACGGTTGTATATGAGGAAAACTGCCCGTTACGCAAAGTCCAAGGTAAGGGCAAGGCAACCTTCTGGACCAAATAATTAGAGGATAGAAAACGAGCGGTGCACAAACTTCTTAGCAGAGTTAAGCACAGGAGAAGTTCTCCTCTATGGGAAGACTACAGAAAGGCATTGCAGGAGTACAAAAAGAAGATTAGAAAGGCCTCCAGAGAATGCTGGAGGCACTTCTGTCAGTCCATAAACGAAATTCTTGCTACTGCAAGAATACACAGGGTCCTATGCAATGACATTAAAGCAAGATTGGGATCTCTGCATGATCCCTCGGGGCGGAATACTACTTCTGAGAAAGGTACTTTGAGGCTTCTGATGGATACGCACTTTCCCGGTTCGACAGTAGCGCGATCAATCACAGAGTGCATGCAGTTGCGCAGGCCCTCCGGGGAGGACTGGCGCACGGCTAGGGAGATTGTTACCTTCGAAAGGACGGTATGGGCAGTAGATTCGTTTGCTCCATACAAAAGTCCAGGTTTGGACGGCGTATTTCCGGCCATGTTACAGCAGGGACGGATTTCGGTTGCTCCTTACCTGTTGGATGTGTTTCGAGCATGTGTGACCACGGGCTTCACACCTAGAAGCTGGCGGCAGGCTAAAGTGGTATTCATTCCTAAACCGGGCAGAGCTAGATATACTGACCCGAAGGATTTTCGACCGATTACTATTTCATATTTTGTGCTTAAGACACTGGAAAGGATAGTTGATAGATACTTAAGGGATGGCCCACTGGAAAGGTGTGTCATTCATGCAAATCAGTTTGCATACCAAGCTGGAAAATCGACTGATCTGGCCTTACTCAATCTGGTCGGTAGGCTGGGGAAGACTCTAGATCAGCGAGAAGTGGCACTCGTGGCCTTCTTGGACATTGAAGGTGCATTTAATTGCACCACAACCGACTCTATCAGACATGCCTTGGTTAGACACGGGGTTGGATCAATCCTAATAGATTGGGTCCTATCTACTCTGGAGGGTCGGGTAACAACAGCTATGCTGAATGACGTAAGCTGCAGTGTGAGTGTAGCTAGAGGCTGCCCTCAGGGCGGAGTTCTGTCACCCCTACTGTGGTGTATCGTGGTGAACGAACTCCTCGTTAGGCTCTGCAGTATGGGTGTCTACACGCAAGCCTATGCTGATGACGTAAGCATAGTAGTTAGGGGGCGTTTTTGTAGAACAGTCTCGGCAACTATGCAGGGCGCTCTGCGCTCCGTGGAATCGTGGTGCAGGGAAGTCGATCTTTCTGTTAATGCTCAAAAGACCGAGCTGATCCTGTTCACTAGGAGAAGAAGGCTTGACGGGCTGGTCATGCCGACCTTCTTTGGAACTAGGTTAGTTTTGTCCCAATCAGTGAAATATCTGGGGATTATCCTGGATTGCAAACTGAACTGGAGAGAGCATGTGGAATACAAGGTTAGCAAGGCTCGCAATTCGAGGTGGGCTTGTAGACGTGTTGTCGGGGTAAGGTGGGGGCTTAAACCCAAAATGGTATACTGGCTTTACACGACGATAGTACGTCCATCTCTCTTGTACGGCTCCCTGGTCTGGTGGCCTTGCATTAGAACTGAGACAACTAAGGCCAAACTCAATAAAATTCAGCGTTTGGCCTGTATTTGTATTACAAGCGAAGTGCGAACAACGCCATTGAGTGCAATGGAAGCTCTGTTGGATCTCCCACCGTTGGATCTGCTGATCCGCGGTGAAGCGAGAGTAGTCGCTCATCGACTGTGGAGTCAGGGTAGCTGGGCTTTCTTGAATCCTGTCAAGGGGCATACTGCCATCTTAGTCGGATTAGAAAGGGAGGACCCCGTCCTTCTAAGCAGGGGTGATCGTATTACCCCTAAATATTGCTTCAACCGCAAGTTTATTATGGAGTATCCAACGATGGAGGAGTGGGACGCCGGTAGCCTCCGAAGTGAGCGGGCAGGTCTGGTACACGGACGGCTCGGTCACCGAAGAGGGCTCAAGTGCTGGGGTCTCTGGGCCTAGAACTAGGCTATCTCTGCCTCTCGGTGGATACACCACTACTTTCCAGGCGGAAATCTTTGCGATTCTGGCTTGTGTATCTCACATTCTGGAGGAGGGTGGGCCTAGGAGAAGAATAACAATCTTATCCGACAGCCAGGCTGCAATGAAAACACTAATTGCCTATAAGATTACTTCGCGTCTTTTATTGCAATGCAGGGAGGCTCTGGATTGCCTCGCAGCGAGGCATCCGGTATCGTTAATATGGGTACCGGGGCACTCTGGGATAAGGGGCAATGAGACGGCGGACACTCTGGCGAAAAC